GAGCTATATCCCCAGCCCTCTGTAAAGGTCTATTTAGTCCATCTTTCACAAGTGTCATTTAGTTTTGTTATTGCTTTGCTGATTTTTTGTCTAGTTGATCTATTTCTTTGTGATAATGGGGTGTTAAAGTCCCCTGTTACGATTGTATTACTGCTTGTTTGTTTTTTTATGTCTGATAAAAATTGTCTTATATAGTTGGGTCCTCCTGTATTTGGTGCATAGATATTTAGGAAATTTTCTGCTGTTACTTCTGCACATATTCTTTTTATGTCATTTGTGTTGACTCCTGTTGTTTCACTGACACCTATTAGTCTTATATTGTTTTTCTTTGCATCATCTTGCAGCTGTTGAATTGGTGTTTCTTTTTTTTTTTTTTAGCGGTACTGGGGATCGAATTCAGGACCTTGCGCTTGCCAGGCAGGCACTTCTGCCACTGAGCTATATCCCCAGCCCAGAATTGGTATTTCTTGATTCCTTATTATTTTTAAGAGATCTTCCTTTCATGATCATTAGCTGAAATGTTGTCTTCAAGGTCTGAAAGTCTATCTTTCACTTAATTCAAGTGGTTTTGCCAGGTTTCGCAGAATTTTTAGTTTCCTGGATATCTGTTTGAATCTGTTTCATGCATTCTATTTCTTTCCTATATTGTTCATTCAAGGTTTCCATCATTTTATATGCGCCTCTATGTTTTTTATCTATGTCTTCTTTAGATGTGCTGAATAGTTCTTTCATTATTCTTGTCATTTCTTTTTTTACCTGAGAGATTATTTCTGATCTTATTTCTTCTATGGCCTTCTTCAGTTGCTATCATTTAAGAAATTTCAGGTGTGTAACTTCCAAGTTCTTCTATGTCAGTGTCTCCTGGACTTGTTCTGGGTTGCATGGAGGTCTGAGATGGCCTATTTCTCCTTCAAGCCCTTGAGTTTCCCAGGGACTTAGCATCACTCCTGTAACCACAGGGGTGGGATGGAGTTCAGTCTCTCCCCTCCTCGGCAGGTCACCAAAAGTGTCGAGTTTCCTGGGGCTCAGCTTCACTCCTATGATAGTGTGGGGGGTGGGTTAAGGCTTACCAAGGCTCCGGAAACTTCCTGGGGCTCAGTGTCACTCCTACAATGGTGGGAGGGTGGGGTGTGCCCCACTGAGGCCCCCAAAGCTGCCCAGGGCTCCCAAAGGTTTTATTTATATAGATTTTTTCAGGCAGTGAGTCATATTCATTTGCAACTAGGAGGCAAGAGAAAGGTCATATTTTAAAATATTCTTGAGATCTGCTAAGTCATTGTTTGAATCATGAATCAGTAAAATCACCATGAAAGCACATTTTGTGGCTTTTCTTTAGAAACTGACTGAGTATACATTCTCAAGGTTGAGGAGAAATGATGATATTTTGTGTACTTAATTTATGATTTGGCCAGAGGGCCAAGGCCCTGTGATTACTGGTGGCTCAGACACAGCTGATATAGAAATGAACACTCCATAAATTTTCCTAAAAAATGAAGTCCAAATGTCCTGAGAAAACCCAAGCACAATGTCATTTATTATCCTGATGGTGATCATATTTATGATTACTATTTATTATGTATGTCTAAAATTGTACATACAATAAAAAATAAAGCTGTTACTAATAAATGTTATCTCTTTAATATATAACAGATTTCTCATTTTTCACTAGCTCCCATAATGAGTTCATTGGTAAACTATATTCTGCATTTATCTTTTTTTAGATATCAAAGTTACTTTAGATGACATATAACTAATAATACTGATTATTAAACTTATATGTAAAACCAAAAAAAAAAAATCTATACTCTGAACACAAAATGACTTCTTTGTGAGTAAATAAGTGATTATGGCTATGGTGTTTTAAGTAAAAAGCTTAGTGAAGTCCTATTATATGTGTAATAATATAAAATTTTAGTTTTTATGTTTTATGTGTTCATTGTAATGATGTAGGTATTACAATATTCATCATTAATTTGGATACTTAGCTATTTTTAAATGTGCTTCCCATTGATACAGACTTCCGTGACGGAGGCTGTTTATCTCTGCAGTAGAAAAATTGTGCAGTGAGTGAGTGGTTTGTAATTTCTATAATTTTCCTGCTCACTGTAACCTACTAGGAACCTATTCCAAGATCTACTCTGACTCGTTTGACATTGGGCAAATTACTTTACACTCTTCCTCAGCCCAGCTTTCCTTCATATATAGAACGAGAACACTTAGTTCTGCTTATCTCAACAGGGAATGTGTTTTATTAGAGGTCTATTAGCTTCTTGAAGTATAAAATTGTAGTTTTGATGGCGTTTCCTTTACTATGGCACTTGGCATCAAATCTTCTTTTGAAATCTCTATAAATGCTCCTGTATAGTGTGATTTACAAGGACAAATGAAGAATAGTCACTCTGCCACAAAAGGAGAAACTCTTTATTCTAACACAACTAAAACTGTGCAGGCTCCTTCCAAATGATGGTTGATACTTTTAGTCTTTAAAATAAAATAAAAGTGACAAAACTATATAGAGAATGGAATAAATACAATTATTGTGGAACTTATAACCCTATATAACCTATATGAAAAATATAATACTTCAGTCTATTTAAAATGTTTAGCAACTTAGAGAATTCATGGAAACATTTTGACTGAGAGAGAGGTAGATAAAAAGGATGGTTTAAAAATCAAAGAAATTTATACATTATAACTAGATATGTTGAGATTTCTACTTATACTTCATACCTGCACCAATATTAATTCTATATAAAGATTAAGTAAATAGATATTTATTTTACAGTGAGAAACTAAAGAATGTTCTTAAGGTTTGGTACCTTCTGTAGAACAAATAAACAGATTGGCTTCAGCACAAAATCTACCCTTCTCATTCAGTCATTTAGAAAAATGCTTCCCCATCATGGGTCCCAAACTTTCTGTTCTAACCATTAACATCATGTGTCTTCTCTCAGAATAGTGTCATAGAGAGGTTATATGTGAGAATCATTCACAAGGTAAAAGACAGTAAGATACCTAACTTGTCTTGGTTCCTTTTCTATCATTGCTGAGACAAAATACCTGATGCCTGAAATTAAGGAAGGAAGGATAGTTTTATTTAGCTTACAATCTGTGGAGATTTCAGTCCATACTCAGCTGGCTCCAAGGCAGGGTGGCACACAGCAAAGGGCAACTTTTCATGATGGCAGAAGACAGCAAAACAACCAGGGCAAAAGGGAGTAGTGGCTGTAAGCAGCCTCTTTCTCTCCCTTACATATGCGAACTATCCACCCCAGGGTGGGTGTAGCATTCACACCCATAATCCCAGCATTGGACTATGGATCCATCAAATATCTAGAAGCCTGCCACTTGAATGCCTGAGGATTTGGGGAAACATACAGACACAAACCATAATACAGTCTATCCTGGACTCTAGGTCAATTATTTCAATAAGCTATTCCTAAGACCTCCTAAGTTAAGTGAAAAATGGGAGTTACTTCTTGTTATTCTTTTTATTCTGCTTGAAGGCTCTTATGAACCAGATACGGAGTAACACATTAATGAAATTCAATCTCAGAAAGGAATCTACTGCTGCAAAGCGTTGTCTTAAATGACACTACTGGGTACACAGTCCCTCCATTCACTGTAAGAGGACTTTACCTAGTGACCCTACTGCCTTGTGACCCCAAGTACCTCTTTCTAGTGGAAGTGAACAGATGCTTTATATATCACATCTAAGCATAAATTTTGGAAAGAGAACACGGTTCATTTTATCCCCTTGTTCTCACTCTCTGCCACTGACACAGCTCTATCCCACACAGGGTCTGTACCTTCACAGTGGATCCAAGAGTGGGCAGATATAGAGCATAACCAAGCAGAATCCAAGAGTGTCTTAACATCCCCAGCCAGACCATAGTAGCATCAGAGAAATCATCTCAGGCAGTCCACTGAGCTAGAGCAGTTCTTTGTTACAGTAGCAAAAATACCCATTTCAGAAAATAGCTGTTAAGCCTCAAGCGTTTATTGAAAAAAATTGCCTAGTATGTGTGACAATTTTCTGGGCACCAGAAGGAAAGGACATTGGTTTTAGAAACAAAAAGTACTATAAAGCAGCAAAATATCTTGTAGCATTTGTGTTTGTGGTAGTTTAGAAGGCAGTTGATGTACTATAAAGGGTTGTGACTTTGGGCAGAAAGGATTCAGAACAGTTATGGGCATGAGTTGATGGCTCTTGGCCGCATTTATGAAAGCATTTTAAGAAATGTTCTGTAATCTTTTTGTCTGTTTTTCAATCTTATATATGATAATGAACTTTATAAGGTTTTATAAATAATGACTTTGATACTGGAAAATAAACAGGGGGTGAGGGAAGGGAAAAAAAATTGAAATGTGTTACATACGTGTAGCAATTGCCCACGGTGAATGTAATCATCATGTACTGAAACATGTACTGATAAAAGTTAAGAAAAGATAAGAAAGAAAAAAAATCTAAGATCAGAAAAGAATTGATGTACTTGAAAGTAAGGATTCAAGGAAATAAATTCTAGCAGGTCCTGAGCATGTGCAATTATAATATGGAATTATTTCTCAATTTCAATCATAAAACAACATGAAGAAATATTTTGAACTACAACCTCAGGGTAAATATTAAACGTCACTGTGTTATAGTTTTAGTTAAGATTTGAGTGGGTTAAGATATCTTCAGGTGAGCAAAATGGCATAGGGAAAAAAAGGGACATAATTGCAAAAATTTTGATGGGCTCCAAGTACCTGAACTTAAATCAGAAGAAAGAGCTATGTTTTAAAGGAAGAGTGGACATGGTGACTGCATTTAGAACTGACCATAATAAAGTTAAAAATTATTAGAGCTGGGGATGTAGCACCACTGAGCAGTGCTTGCCTAGAATGCGTGAGGCCTGGGGTTCAATGCCCAACACTGCAAAAGTAAACAAACAATTACTAACAATGAAAAATTAACTGCCCCCTCCCTTTGGGAGAACTTCACGTTGAAAAAAGCAGCAAGAGCCTGGAACAAAACCACCGCCACTATTCAAGATAGCAGTGCACTCTTAGGGTTCAAGGTTACTGAAAGAGAGAAGGAAGGATTTGACGCTCAGAAAATTCACGATCACAGCAATCTGAAATCTTGGAAAACACTGCACTCCCCAGCCCAGAGCCGGTGATGATCTCTCACTGAGCTGATGTTCTGCCCGTGGTTCACTGTTCTCTGGGGTCTTTGGCTCCGTGCTCTCTGGCGCTCCTTTTCTATTACTTCATTAGCTATATCTGAAAGAAGAATGAAGCAGCTTTAAATACGGCCACTAGCTCCATCCCTGTCCTTCTTCCTGTTCTCCGTAATAAGAACACAATGTCCAAATTGGAGCTCATCCGTCAGCCCAGGTTCCAAAATGAGAAGATAGAGGACGGCTGCATCCATGGCTGAGCTGCAGCTTTCCTGTAACACAAATGAGAACCAAAGGATCGTTGAGCCACTTACTAAAATTCTGGACTTGTTTGTTGCTCCAAACTGATGAGACATCATTCTTATTTTCTATTTTTACAAACAAATTATTATACTCCTTCCATTTTACAAATTGTAAAACATGTTATAAAGTGAATACACAATCCTGGTTCTTTTTTTTTGTCTTTTTGAGACAGGGTCTCGCTATGCAGTTCAGGCTGGCCTTGAGCTCGCTTTGTAACCGAGGCTGGTCTCAAACTTGCAATGATCCTCCTGCCTCAGCCTCCCAAGTGCTGGTATTACAGGTGTGCACCACCACACCTGGCACAGTCCTGGTTCTTTAAAGGATAGGAGATGCATGCTCCATACCATAAGCACTACCACCTTAACTACCCCAATACGATCACCAACTTCCTAATTTTTACATTAAAAAAATTGGTTCCCAGCTGCAGATGAAGATTTTCCAATTAACTCAGTGAGTAAGTGTAAACTTATTCATGGAACACAGAGAAGATATAAGTGGGGAGAGGAAAAACCAACATGAGAAAGACCTCAACACAAATTTAAATAACAGCACATAGCTTTTCACATAGCCTTATATGTGAAGATAACCAGGCTGTATCTGAGGCAGAAGGGTCATTGCGAGTTCGAGGCCAGCCTGAACTACATAGTGAAATCTTGTCTCAAAAAGGACAAAGAAAAAAAAAGTCAAAAAAGGAGACAATAATCAGAAAATATATCAACTGAAAAGGAGAGATCAATATCAAATCTATCCTCCCCAAATGCCTAGATGCCATGTTGTTTTCATATGGACTTTCCTATAATATAAATAATTACTGTATTTGGTGGTTCCCTTTGACTATATAATCATTTCTCAGTTCAGAACTACTTGTCTCAATAGAAACATACATTACTTACTCATAGTTGTGTTTTTATGCCTGACACATAAAAATGCAAGTGAATATTTGTTGAATTGAACTGGACCTATGACAAAAACTTTAAACATTATATAGTTTAACATCAATATTGTTTTTAAAAAGTAATTGGCTAAGTCAGGGACTGGCGAGTTACTGCATGCAAGCCAATTCCAGTCTGCTACCAGTTTTTGTATATTCCTCAAGTTTGAAATGGGGAAAACAAAACAGAAACAAGAATATTCAATAGACACCCTCTGATAACAGCAAACCCTAAAATATTTACTATCTGGCATGTTACAGGAAACGTTTGCTAAATCCTGGTCTAAATTCAAAGACTATTTCCTGGATTTAGTCCCAGGCATGTGGGAACATATGCAGTAACATATGTAATAATATTTTAGATTAAGAAACATCACAAATAGAGGTGGGGGATATAGCTTAGCGACACAAGCGCCTGCCTGGCAAGCACAAGGTCCTGAGTTCGCTTTCTGGCACACACACAAAAAGAAGAATGTTAAGAAACATTATGGATAGAGGAAAATGCACATAGCAAGAGGAAATTTGCTGGAGATTTCCAAGAAATTTATTCTTAGTGTTAAACTGGGGTAAGGAAAAAGTGCCGTCTTCCCCTGTTCTACAGACTTTGAGCATTTTGTGGAGATACAGTGCCTGAAGGTGTTTTCAGTCGCCTTGAGCCTAAGAGGGCGCAAGCCCTATAACAAAGATGATAGAGTGGAAAGATGGCAAACTCTGACTCCTTAATGCTGTCCTTACACCTTCAATCTTGCAAACACAGAGGTACTATAATTATATATCTTGCTATAAGTAGTGTTATACTTTTTCTTCTAATGTTTAAATTAGCTGATTCCAATTTTCTGTTTCATGCCTGCAAAAACATCCATATGACAGCGTAATTGGAATTTGGTTGTAAAGTAGAATAAACACTCATATATTCTTTGGCCAGTGTTTGTAAATTACTTAGAAAATGCAGGACAGCTGTCCAAGTGAGAACCTCAAGTATTCCCGTTCCACATGGAGAAAGATTTGGTGTGGTTTATCTCATTGTCATATTAGCCAGAAGGCAAGTGCACACAGGCCTAGCACCGTCCAGCCTTGTCCTACCCACAACCTGACTGCACTTTGCCCTCTTATTTTGAGTGAACAGAAATCATCTGGGGGCATATATAAATATATATAAAATAATTGACGTACATATTTTTGTTGTAATTTTTTTAAATGAGGGCAAAACTAGGCAGGATATGGGAGGGACACATCTCAGTAACAGACTATCAGTGGTGCTCAGAGAAGGCTATTCCATAATCACACTTGAAAAGAAAGACTTAAAGCTTTTCTACAACCTCAAACATGAGTTAAGTACTCATGTTTTCTCTGGACATTGTTTTCTGTATTTTATGTTTAACCAATTATATCTGTACATTTGCTTTAATCTCTCACTTCCCAGGATAAAAGTATTAAGACATTCATTGCTCCACTTCTGACAGCATCCAAGTGACACTCTCTAGCTCCTGTTTAGAATTATCAGCCTGAAGCCTAAATCCTCTCAGAAGACTTTCCCAAGTCTATGGTGCTGATAAACGATCAAAGTTTCTCTGACTTGTTTTTCTTTCTCCTGCTGTAAAAAGGTAAAGAAAGTTAATAGTTTTTACTACAGGTATTTCCTGGCTAACTTGCATTTTTTAAACACCTAAATAATATTTTTAGAAGTGTTTTCAGGTTTTGTTCAATAATTGAGCACAAATTACAGAGTTCTTGTATATTTGCTCCCCCACCCACTCAGTTTCCCTGTACTTACATCTTGCATTTTATCGTACAGTTGTGAGAACGGATAAACCAGTATTAATATTAACAAAAGTCCTCAGTGTGGTTCCCTCTGTGTTGCACTTTTCTGTGGACTTTGCCCACGTGCCCCGTGTCCATCATCACCGTACAATTATTATAGTCTCACCGCCCTGGGGTCGCCTGTGCTCTGCCTGTCCACCTCCCCACCTCCCAAGTGTAGATCCTGCAGCACCTGCCCTTTTCACTGTTCAGGTAGTTATACTACCTCTCATTTTATCTTTTCCAGAAAATGAAACAATAGGATAGAGCTGGTACTGTGTAGCATGTAGTCTTTTCAAACCGACCTCGTTCATTCAGCAAAACTCATTTAAACACTCCTATGTGTTTTTGTTGCTTGGTATTTTATTTCACTTTACTTCTGAGTAATATTGCATTATGTGTATGTACCCTACTTTATCTCTTTACCCATGTAGGCAGTGTTGTATTCTTCCTATTTTTAGCAATTATGAATGAAGTTAGTTTAAATATTGATACATAGTCTTCCTGTGTCTTTGTGTAGATTTAGGTTTTCAACACACTTGGGCAATTACCTAGGAAAATGGTTGCTAAGTAATATGTGAAGAATTTATCTGTGTAAGGAACTGCCAAACTGCCTGTCACAGTGGCTGTAGTATTTTGCATTCCCAGCAGAAATGAATGAGAGTTCCTTTGCTCAACATCTTGATCACCTAGACATTGATCAAGATGATATTGTCAGCGTTTTAGAGTTTAGCACTTTTGATAGTTGAAATGGGTTCTGGGAAGGGGTTAGAGAGGAGAGACAGGAAAGGGAGAGGAAGTAAAAGTGATTAAGATGTAACATGTATATGTACAAATAACCCAATTTACATGTGCAAGACGAACGTAATTATTATGCATAAAACATATAATGAATACAAATTAAATGTTAAAATTAATTATGGAAGTATTAGAAATGCTGGTTAAGAAACAAGGATATTTCCTGCCATGAAATCATCGCATGAATAAATTTTAACATATCTCATCTTCATTATTTCTATGGAGACAGGAATAGACTAACTGAAAATTTTCACACTCATTAGTTTCTTGTTTAATGAAACTAGTTTAAAACATTTTGATTTTTATCATTGATAGCACTTTCTGCATCTCTTTTAATTAAATTGCAAGAAATTCAGCCATGTAAAAAATTGCTGTATAGATTTAAGGTTGATTGTGTCTTTTGCATACCATCAAGCCATTCAACTGAATTTCAAGGAAATTGTCAAATACACTTTTTATTCCCAGTATATCTAAAACAGAAAATATAATCTATGTTTCTCTCCTCCTCTAAGTTGAATTTGAATACAGTGGATTAATCTTTGTAAATTTCATAGCAGAGAATATAAAATATTCTTAGGAGAAAAAAAATAGACTTAAAATAGAAATAAAAGAGATACTATCTTGCCAAGTGGTCTTTTTGTGTTTTCATTCAATTACAACCTCTTATCACTTGAGATTATAATAAATCTGAGTAAATATAAGGTTTTTCTTTTTTTTGAAGTTTTAAGCATGCTCTGTATAGACAGACTACAAGCATATTTTAATTTTTTTTATTTTTAGATACTATGAAGCTATAGCCTCTTCAAAAAAATGCCTACTATAATATTTTTCCCCTTAAAAAGCATTCATCACCTGGTGATGAATTAAACTACTGTAGTTTCTTAACAAGCTGGTCTTCTTAGCCATGATGTTAAGGAGTGGCTAGCAAATGGATTTTGTGGGTAATCTATTTGTAAACATAATTTTCAGAGCGTATTTGCAGAATACCCCTATCTTTAGAACTCTGATGCTGAAAGCACAAGAAAGCTTTTTTATATTTACTTGGTAGCCTATAAAAAAGCCCCTGAATTTTTCATAACGAAACATTTTCTTACCTTTTTCCCTCTGGTGTTGCAGACTTATAAATATCTTATTATAATCAATAAAGTTTGTAGATATAACTGTCAATCTTTTTTCTTTTAATAATTCCTGATCTCTAACTTTTAAATCCTATAGACCCTGAGGACTTAAAAATCTAATTAGCTACCTTTCGAGTATTGTTGACTTACAGATCATCATTTTCCATCATCTCATCAAAAGATGTCAGATACAATGCAAAAGGGTTTCCATAACTTTGTGTGGCATATTGATGAACTGTCAGGAAAATAAACAAGTTATACAGAGACTCAGTATTCCAGAACCACAGGGAAAACCCCTCAATGAAAGAGTCACACATAATTTTGAATTTTATGATTTTACCCAGAAAAAACACATGGTGAGAATAAATAACAAAAAATATAGATAACTAATCAAACTAGATATTTTTACCTTATATATTTCCTATAATTATATGTCCAAAAGTGTCTTTTGTTGAAAGTAGTGTGAGTGTGGAAAGGAATAGAATGTAGCCACTGCCCAGTCTGTACACTGCTTTTTGATAACATACTATTGGGACATTTTTATAATTTTTCTCTTTCTTAAAATTAGTACTAATTACCAGAATTAGTTCGTAAGCTATAATACACACTTTGTGAGAAATATACCTATATATATTATTGATCACTTATAATATCAACTGTGAGAGGTCTTCTTTGTCCATATAACAAGAATGATGTATTATTTCACTAACTTACGAGTTTACTTTAATGACTGGAAAAAAGTTTCAATTTTCGTTGTGCATAACTTGTACAATAAATGCTGGGAGATTGCTCACACGCAGTGTCTTTGTCTTCTGTCCCCCTCTGGCAGGCAGGTGCCTCCAGCTGCAATCTGAAAATGTGAAAATTGAAGTTGAGAGATATTCAGAGCTGAGGCAGTGATATTTTTAAGGCACGTTTTCCAGGAAGGGTGAGCCTGACAGCTATTGTGAGGAAATAAGACCTTGAAAGAGAAGAAAAACGACTTTCCAAGAAAAGAGAGCAGAGGTGAGCGTAGAGGTTGTTGTAGTACATCAAGTTTGGGAGGTCTGTCCAATCCTGCAATTTTTTTTCAGAAAGATGCGAACCCCAGTGAAGTAGCAGTTGAAAGAGACGGCACCCTGTCTTAGGTAGTTTGAAGTTGGTTCCTGGAATTTGCAACCAAAGAACCAGAGTAACTTTTTCTATAACTCTACCTATAGACCAATAGGAAAAACCCTTGTTTTAAATTACATTTTCAGTCTTCAGTATTTTTTTATTGCACATGTTTGCAGTATGTACGGTTTGCGTTATTTGTGTGGAGCTGGTGCATGTGTGCAGTGTGTACTTCCCGTACTCACACCCGTCCCCTCCCTGCCCTCTCTGCGTCATCTGTTGATTCCCTTTCCATTTGAGAAAGATCTACCTTCTTCTTATTATTGGTCTTCCATTTTGTTCTTTATGTATAATTTGGTTTCTCGTATAAGAGAAACCGTGTGATATTTGAGCTTGTGTACCTGATTTGTTTCCCTTAAGATTATGTTTCAAAGAATATCCGCTTTCCCACAAATGACTCAAGGGTATCTCTCTCTATGGCAGACTAGTGCTCCAGTGTGAGTGAACACCACACTCTACCCATTCATCTGTAGATGTACACACAGGCTGCTTCCAAGACTCAGCTATTACGTATTGAGCTGCTACAACCATGGGTGTGCAAGGACCACTGTAGTATGGTGGGTCGTAAGTCCCCAGCTTATGAACGTTCAGGTTGTGAACTTTCACCGGTGCACTGTGTGAGACTCACTTTGTCAGCTTACAAACCAAGCTGACTTAGGAACAATTCTCCTGGAACAGAACTTGTCTATACATCAGGGACTTACTCTGCTATGACGCTTTTAACTCTTTAGGAAGATGTCTAGAAGGGGACCAGCTGGGTTAAATGGAATTCCTAGTTTTAATTTTTGAAGAATCTTCACAGTATTTCCGTGGTGGTTGTCTGTACTTATATTCCCACCAACAATTTAGAAGGGTTCCTTTTCCCTGCAGCCTTGCCAGCATTTGCTGTTATTTGATTTCTTGATGCTGTTATTTGATTTCTTTCTGGGGTAAGGTGGAGCATCAGTGTTGTTTTAATTTATATTTCTCTGATGGTCAGTGGTGCTGAACATTTCTTAACGGATTTATTGGCCACTTGTATTTCTTCTGGCAAGTGTCTTATTTATTTTACTTGCCCATTTATTAATTGGGTTTTTTGTTTTGGGGTGTCTAAATTTTTTGAGTTCTTTTCATATGCTAGGTATTAATCCTTTGAGAAATAACTGGCAAATTCACTCTGTGCTTTCTTTTCATTCAATTAGTTGCTTCTTTTGCTGTGAAGAAGCTTTTTAATTTGATATGATCCCCTGTTTGTTTCTCAGTACTATCTCCTGTGCCACTGGGGTTCTGTTCATAAAGTCCTTGCCTGAGTCTAAGATTTCAATCATTTACCTATTTTATCTTCAAGCAGGTTGAGTGTTGGGGTTTTACCATTTAGTTTTGTGGTCCATTTTGATTTTAGTGTAGCACACAGGGAGAGATATGGGTCTAGATTCAATATTCAGCATGTGGATAGCCAGTTTTCCCAACACCACCTATTAAAGAGATTATCTTTGCTCCAGTGTATGTTCTGGACTCTTTGGGCAAAGATCAAAGGATTGAGTGTGTTTGGGGTTGTTTTTGCATCTTTTGTTCTGTTCCATTGATACTCATGTCTGTTTTTGTGTCAGTGTTATGCTGTTTTTATTAATGCGGCTATAACTACAAGTCTTATGTGCCTTGCCTCCTGCTTTGCTCATGTCACCTAGGGTTGCTTTTGCTATTCTGTGTCTCTTCTGGTTCCACATGAATTTTAGGATTGTTTTATCCAGTTGTGTGAAAGATACTGTTGGTATTTTTATTGCCTTTCTTTACATCTGTTTATCACCTTTGGAAGTGTGGCCATTTTGACTCTATCGTCTCTGCCTATCGAGGAATAGGATATATCTCTCTATTTTCTGATGTCCTTCTTGATTTCTTTTCTCAGACTATCGTAGTTTTCATTGTTCATTAAAGAGACTGGTGAGTACCTTTTCTTCTTTTCTTTGGGAGGTCTTCCCTTTCAATTTCATTAAGGAGCTCGAGTAGTATTGCTGTCAGAGCTCCCTGACGTTGTTGTGACTTTCAGCAGTGGTGCATTGGGGTTGGACTTTTCTTGGTTGGTTTTTATTCCTTTTATTGAATTATTCTGGGTTCGTAAAGCTTCTTTTTTCACTGTTGGTAATTTGTATGTATCTAGGAACCTATCCATTTCTTACGAATTCCCCAGTTTATTGGTGTATAGACTTGTGAAGTAGCTGTTAATAATCTCTTTGATTATGAAAGTCATTGTAATTTCACTTTTTCCACTTATGGTCACACTAATTTGGGTCTCTTCTCTCCTTTTCTATCAGCTTGGCTAAGTGGCTCTTTTTTTTCTAAGTGTCTCTTTTGCTTATTTTTTTGAAGAACCAACTCTTCAGTTCATTTGTTCTTTCTTTATTTGGTCTCAGTTTTATTGGTTTCTGCTCTGATCTTCATAATTTCCTTCCTTGTACTAGGCTTGAATTTGGATTATTAATGTTTTTCTAGAACCTTGAAGTGCATTGTTAGGGATTTACTTGGAATCATTCTGTTTCTCTGTGATCACTGGCTGCTAATCTTCCCTCTTAGGAGTGCTTTCATTGTATTCTGTAAGTTCTGGTGTGTTGTACTGGCTTTATCATTTAGTCCTAGGGACAGTTTTATTTCTCCCTTGATTTCTTCTGTAACACATTGTTTTTAAAGAGTATATTATTTAGATTCCACACACTGCATAATTTCTGTGTTTTCTTTTGTCATGGATTTCTAAGTATGTTGTACCATGATTAGATGATATGCATAGTATAATTTCAATTTTTTCTTTTTTGGTAGCAGGAATTGAACTCAGGACCTCATGCTTGCCAGGCAGGTGCTGTTCTGCTGAGCTATATCCCCTGCAATTTCAATTTTTTGTATTTACTTAAGCTTGCTTTGTTGGCTAGTATGTGGTCTGTTTTGGAGAAAGCTCCATGTATTGTTCAGAAGAATGTTCCATGCAATGGGAACCAGGCAAAAATCATGTCCTGTTCTCATTGCATGGAATATTGTTTTTCATCCTTTGATTTTCTAGACTATGAGTTTCTTTCTGAGTTAAATGAATTTTTTGTGCATAGCATACCATTAGATTTTGTTTCTTAATCTGTTTTCCTAGTCTATGTCTTTTCATTGGGGAATTGAAATCATTCATATTGAGGGTTGTTACTGATATGTAATAACTTGTTCCTGTTATCTCCTTATTTTCCTTTTGCTGAATCCCTAATTTTCCCTTCTATGTAACACCCTACCAGTGTATTCATTCTATTAGCTCTTTTGTCGCTGTTGCCTTCATTTTCTCTTTTTGAGAGTCTTCCACAATAGTTTAGGGTGCTAGTTTGGTGCTCTTGAATTTCTGTAGGAGCTTTTAAACATGAAAACATCTATTTCTCCATCACTTTTGAAAGGTGATTTTGCAGAATATATCAACCTGGGTTGGAAATTGGTTTACTTCAGAGCTTGAAACACTTCCTTCCAAGATCTCTTGGCTTTTAAAGTTTGTGTTGAGAAGTTTGATGTAATTCTAGTGGGTTTAGCTCAATTTTTAAAAAATGAATATTTAGGGGCTGGGGATTTAGCTCAGTGGCAAAAGCGCCTGCCTGGCATGCGCAAGGTCGTGAGTTCGGTTCCCGGTACCGGAGAAAAACCAAAAAAAAAAAAAAAAATGAATATTTAGGTTACTGTAAGCGATTTCACAATTCAAAAGGTAAACTGGGGCAAAGAGTTGGAAGTATACATCACGGGTGTCTAGCCTGAGGGTGATTTCGCAGAGGTGGAGAAGCTCCTCCCCTTTCCCGGGGCCCTTCTCCCTGACGGAGCGTCAATCGCTCTGTGTCCGCGGCTGCTCTCTGTGAGGCTCTATGAGCTTCATGCTGCGTCGAAGACCTGCAGATTCTGTACTGTAATTTCCGTACACCACAAGCCTTCACATATTCGCTTGAGGGTTGATTTCTTTTTTTGTTGTTTTGTATCGGGACTCAAACTCAGGACCTTGCACTTGCCAGGCAGGCGTTTGTGCAGCTGAACTATACCGATAGCCCGAAGCTTGATTTCTTGATGGTATCACTATTTAGGAAATATTTTAGGAATTGAGTTTTTAAATTTCAGATTTCTTGAGATGGGGGCAAATCTAAGATGAAATGCTTCGCTTCAATACTATAATAAATAGAAACTAAATATATAGATATAAATACTATGTGTGTTTGTTTTGTCAGCAAGTCTGTGGAAGAGAAATTCTAATATTCATACATATCTGTGTCACATTTGTCAATTGCATTTTTCGCATGCTGGGAGGGAAATCAGGCAGGAAACACCGATTATGTAAGAAGATTTTTCTCTAATTTCCAGTGCACCATGCTGAATACATACCCTGCTAGTTTAATTCTACACATTCAGAACGCAGTCACATATTGAATGGGGAAAGATTTAAACTAAAAATAGCAATTACTTATTTCAAAAATTTTCTCCTTTACTATTACTATCTCTAATAAATAGAACAGTACAGTATACAATTTTAAAAATGAATATGTCTCAATAAATTGGTTCAAAGAGCCATATTTTATTAAATGATTTTCAAACATTAAATACAGGAAATTGGTATTCTTAGCTGACTTTAATGTGTTAAAAATTCTTGGAGGTTTTCTTTAATGGTCAGAATTTTCTTTTTCTCCATGATTAGCAGAAAATTTAACAATAAATAATTATAAAATGCTTTAGATTTAATGAAGTATTCTCCCAATTTTAACCAAAGAGTCTGTTAGATAGCATAGGATGATTCTCTACTTTTTCAGATTGAGGAAATTAAGGCTCAACCCTGTAAGTGTTTTGCCCAAGTTGACACTCATCAGTAATTGAAATGGTACTAGATTGTACGCTCTTGTCCTCATATCCCATCTAATAAGCAGAGCTCTCTCTCCGTCCATCCACCATGCACCACTTAAATCCTTTGCAGTAATATTCTCAATTATTTGCTCCTAAATTTCTAGATATATAAGAAAGAAAAAATAGAAACTTAAGGAAATGGTCACATTTAGAAAGATTGTGTGATGAAAAAATAAACTGAATGACATAGTTTAACTTGGAGAAGGGAAGACAAAAGATGAATTCATATGTGTCTGAGGTAAAATATTATGTGAAGAGGTATTATGTGTCTCTATCAAGTAATGGTGTAAATTACACTAAAAATGTGCTGGGTCAAATATTAGGTAATTTTCTTATTGACACAAGGTATATAAAAATCATAGCTATGCAAAACAAACTTTTATACTGAAGTAGAGAAAATAAACATTTAGGATCCTTTTTTTATCTCATTGTATTATAAGATCACTTATTCAATCTTGTAATAATACTTCTCTGGTCAAGTGCCCAATTGTTGAATGTCTAAAATACTCTAATCATATACATACATCTGTTAATCCCTCTTGAAGTCGACATTTTGAAGTTCAGTTGAGTCAAATACTCTAACTAAAAGGAAATTCAAGATTTTGCAATCCATTACATGATCTTTAATTATTCAGCAATATATTGGGGTAAATCCACAAGCTTTGCCTATGTAATGGAAATTCCATCTACGGCTTCCTTTCTCTCTCCCTCTCCCTCTTTCTCTGTCTGTCTGTCTGTCTTTCTGTCTGTCTGTCTCTCTCTCTGTGTCTTTTTATTTCAGTTACTCTTCTATAGATGCAGTGAATAAGGTGGATGAGGAGATGCTCCGATATTTTCACAAGCCTGGCCTTCTTTTGGATAGCACTCAGCAGCAACAGTCACTGGTTTTGGTTTGTTTGCTTTCTATTTTTAAATCACACTTTGTAAAACCATTCACAAATAAGATTTGCAGAACTGTTTCAGAAAGCAAGAAAAATTGAATGTGTGTTCAACAGAAGGAGAAGTATTTTGATGTGAAACTAACGGCAATGTATCTTCTACACTAATACATTTGTAAAATTTAATTATTCAATGTATATTTTAATCACACCTCATAAATTTCTCAGATACCCTGGCAAGGACATATCAGGAAGCAGAGGGGTGAGGGCAAGAGCTCAGAAGTAGAATGTGCATTTGAGGTGACAGCTGCAGAGTGAACTTGCAGCAGAGCATCCGAACAGGAGACTGGTAATGACAGGTGGATCACTCACGGTACAGTTTATTGTGGTGTCAAGTTGCACGGATTAAGAAACACCTATGGCACAGCTCTGGATGTCTCTGCATGATTGATTTATACAATTGAAATGCTTGATTTCACAAACTGAGAAAGGGAGAATAACTCTGGATGCAGGAGCAAAAACTGATAGTCTTGTAGCCCATAAGAAAGAAGAAAGACCACCCTCTTTGCTTCTTTGGGGAGCTCTCATTTGCCCTGCTACTTTTGGACATTAGTTTATTCAGGTCTCCAGCACAGACCTTTTGATTTTCCAACACAGACCCTCACTAGATCCTGCCTTCGACCGTCCACTGAATCTCTGGACTCTCCCGCACATAGGTGGCCACTTGCATTCCTCCACCTCTGACTCCTTTTGTGAGACTACTTTGTAAACCCCTTATATATCATTCAAATATATGAATACATACAAATATATGTGATATGTGTATAATCAAGTCTGTTCCTCTAGTGAACCCTAAATGTAGCTTATTTGTTTCAAAAAATTGCTTTGGCTTCTCCATTAAGAATGCACAGTAGAATGTCAAGAGGGTTAGCAGAGAGACATATACGGTGCTACAAGAGCCAAGGGTGAACAAAGCCATTATCTGGACATCCGTAGCAGCAAGAGCAACAGTGAGAAGTGGTTAGATTATGGATATTTCTTTTACCTAGAACATGCGTTAAAGCTGATAGGTTAGCTGTGAAGTGGAAGAGCAACTGAAACCCTCCAAGGTTTCTCATATAGTTACACAGGAAGACGATGTTTCAATTTGCTGTAATTGGAATAACGGTTAGAGCAAATTTATAGTAGATGATCGTAGGTTTGAGTTTTGTACATGTCTATTCTAAGCTGTCTGCTAGCCATACAGGGTGGATGTTGACAAAGTTTTGTATACAGAAGGAACGCAGAGAGAAATCTAGGCTGGAAACATCTTTGAAAACCATACACTCAAACAAGTAGCTCATAGTATGACACCAGGTGAGTAGGAAGGGATCGAATGCAGAAAGAGAAGAGTCACGGTGCATAGACTCATATTGTGGGCCCTTTACCTGCAGTGTAGACCAATAAAGGAATGCAGTGAAATGGTGTGAGGAGCAGGAGTATTGGAAGCCAAGTGGTGAAAGACTTTTAGAGAAGATAGAGTAATTAATTATATCAAATGTCACTGATGAGTACAAAGGTAGACTGATCATAGGATTTAACACTACTAAGCTTAGTGGTTACTTAAAAATAAATATTTTGGTGAATTGAATGCAAATTTTCTTATGGTTTAGAAAGAGAAAAAAGAGATTTGAATGCAAGCAATATCTGAGGAGATTTTATGAAAATGGGAACCAAGAAGTAGGTTTAATTAGACTTACTCATAGTTCTAATTTTCTCAGGCACCGTTGTGAAGTGGGCAATGGTGACAGTAATGTAAATACAAGAGTGACTCGTGAGGTTATGTAGCTTTTCATGGATATAAAAGGAAAGAAGGGAATGCAAGAGGCATGTGGGGACGATGAAATGGCGTGAGGATTAATCGATCTACACTTTGGTCAAATTAAATAGTTACTGAAGTTGAAGAAAAAATAGAGGAGCTGACAGAGAAGAAGGTGGTAGGGGGAACAATTAAAATGCATGGGGTCAGAGTTGATTTCAAACAGATTTGACCAAAAGAAGAAATGGAAAGTTCATAAAGTAGCGTGAGAATGTTTTGTTCATGGCTGATCCCTAATTCAGAGGGTAGAGTTGTGAAAGTGATTCTGAAGCAGGGCAAGATTGGGAGGCGGCCTCAAAGAGGCTGAAATGCAAGGAAGTGTGAGGAACTTCCGTGATCATGGGTGGCCTGGGGATTGTTTTCCTCTTGAGTGGATGTGTTCGGAAGTAGAGAGCACAGTGGGTATGACAGCCCTCCATCCCTATACCAAAACACCTGAAGTCAACTCACAAAGAAAGAACATCTCACAGCTCCAGAATTTCAGTCCACTGAGGGTTGTCCCTGTTGGTTTTAGTCCTGCATGGGGGCATATCACGGTAGGGGGCACACGATAGGGCAACACTGCTTAGCTCATGATTAGGAAGCAAAAAAGAAAGAGGAGTGGGCTCCCTCTGTCTTCGCCAAGGGAGCACTCCCGAAGGCTGGAAGTCCCTCTACTGGACGCCACCTCTGACTTTCCACCACCTCCCAACAGTGCCAACCTGAAGACCACGCCTTCACAACACGGGCAGCCTCGGGGACCTTTCAGATCTAACCTGCAGCAATAAAATGTGTGGTGACGGGAACTGAGTAGAGGGCGTGGTGAAGCAACTGCCAATTTCACTGAGTTCTGATGACGTGGAGGTGGGAAAAGAAAGTCGATTTTGAATGAACCGCTACAGTCTCTGTGGGATGCTCCCGTCTCTAGGTTTTGAAGACAGGAGAGCTGCAGAAAGGAAGTCCTTTCCACAGTTCGAAGAGCACCAGTATTTCTTCCCGGCTCCTTCCAGTGGAAACATGATGGCCCGGTAGGGCACCTCATCCACAGTACTGGGATCGGGGGCAAGGGTGAGAAACATCCAAGGACGGGTGCTCGTCTACACTGTTATTCAGAAAGATTTCACCGGGGAACGAGTTATAATTGAACTCCTTGTCGATACTTGAATAGTAAAAAAGACAGTTTAATTTAGAGTCTAGAGTCAAAGACATTGTGGGGGAGGAAGAAAGGATGGCCAAATGGGGGAGGGGTTTTTACTCTGCTACAGAGGACAGACTGGGAAATGGCAGAGAACAGCACTAACTTAGAGTGACAACTAATTTTAAAAACTATCAGATGTAGAGACAATAAAATAGAATTACTTTTTCCAAGCTCATCATTTTCTTGGCAGAAGACCAAAGACTGACGGAAATCTCTCTGGTGGAATCTGAATCATATCTCTCTGTGCATTTCTAGTTCAGGCAGGTGAATCATGTAAAATGGCCATGCTTGAGGAATTCGTCACTGAAAATAATCTTTTCTTGTATTTAATGTTGTGTTCACGTTGCAATTCCTTGTGAACACACTCAGGATAATAAGCACGTCAAATGTCATCTCTTTTAAATCTCACCTTAATACTATAAATCACTATACAGATCAAGAGAGAAAAGATCTATTCTAAGTATAAGAGCATATTCTTATTCATTATATTATCTTATATCTGACAGTGTGTCACAGTGGTAGATTCTTCACAGATATTTATTGAATGAATAAATTTAAGTAACTTATTCAAAGTGACTTTCACTTTTCCATGGATAATAATAAATATTTTCTTTGATTTATTGACAATGTCAATGCTGTGTTAACTCTGGCATAATCTTGTCTATGAGTATGCTTCCTATTTCTTTTCACTCATTTTCTCTCTCCTACTTAGACTTGCCAAGCCAGGAAGGAGGAGAGACTTTGGTTAAATTCCATGTTAATGCATTCTCCGTGTTTACCTGTAGAAGAGTCCATTGTATGTTAAGAGGTCACGCTGATTAGTATGGCTCTCCAACAACTTGTGTAGGTTGCTTCGTGATTGTCTGCTTCCGTAGTCATGCGTAGAAACACATTCACATTTCCCCTGCCTCCCTCTCGCTTGTTTCCTTTGAAACTGGGAATTGAACCCAAGACTTTCACACTGAGCTTTATTCCCAGCCCTTTGAAACAATTTTTGTGAGATAGGTTTCACTAAATTTGAGACAGGTTTCAGGAAACTGGCCAGGCTGTGGTCAACCTCCAATCCTCCCGCTTCAGCAGCCAGGGTGCCAGGGCTGCAGACAGGCACCTCCATACCCAGCTCTTACTTATTTTTTTAGTCTTACTTTTGTCTCCATAACATGAAGAGCGTGAAGTTAATTTTCCCATTCACTATCCAATTGTAAATATATTTCAGCTACAACATTTATCATATTCTAATTACAAAATTTATATCACATATAAACATTTATATGTTTACATGTGACATTTTATTTAGTGACATTTTATAAGGACTTATTTCACTCCAATCATATATAAACCTATTATGCTTATTTAGGAGTTTTTGGACAGATTTTCTGTTTTATTTTCTGTCTTCCTCAATAGATTAGGTTTATTATGGTGAAAGTACCAAGTGTGTAAATTATTTTACATTCACTCTCTGATTTAAAATCTCAGTTTTCAAGTCCTCACTTACTATTGTTATTTTCTAACATTTTCTTTGCTAGTGTAGCCTATTTAAATGCTTGTTTCCCTTTAATGATTTTAATAAATATTTAATGTTTTCTAATGTTCTTATTAACTCAAATGATCTTATTTTGTGTGTGTATATATGTGCTCTTTTGGTAAAATACATTCTAAAACTACATGTTATTTATTCTAATTCTGTATGTTATATATTTAATGTACAGAACATGGTAAGATTAAAAGAAAAGAATAAAAACAGACACAGCAGGCAAATAAATATTTTCTGAATGAGAATTCATTATCTGTTTTTTCCTCTTTGAGTAATGGAAATACATTCTTTTCTGGCCCTTTCATTGTTCAGTTTTACTTCCTGAAAAATCTCCCTTCATCTCCAAAGCTTAAAGAACTGGATGATGTAAGTTCACCAGGTCAGTTCAGTTATTTCTCAGACTTAGGTCGGCAAGCAGGAGACCTGCGCGCAGTACGACTAGAGCATCTCCAGGTTCTTGTTTCGCCCCGATCATTGCTTGCAAGGCCACAGGGACATCATATTTCAGCTACATATAAGATACAGGACCGTCTGACACCCCCCTAGTTACCTCCAGGCCCCACAGTCAAACCTGGGATGCTCCTGAGCTCATTGACTTTAACCCTAACAGGCCTAGTAAATTCCTACTACTTAGAATTCAAACACGAAATATAAGTGTATTTTGGAGATCAGGCACAATGTACAAAAATTCTAGATTCAGATATATTCTGAGCCTGTGGTAATACCAATTCACCATGGTTAAGATTCACTTTATTGGATTATTTGTATTTTTTCTTTCTGTCCATTTTGATTCATGATCAAATGTGTCTGGAAGGCAAAGGCTGACAGTACGGTGTCCTATATAACCCCCTACCGTGCTCATGCTCCCATTTTACTGTTTTGACGTTAACTATGAAACATCAGGCGTGTTGCTTCTTTTAAAATTCATGTAGGAGAAAACTCTGTGTATTGCAGTTCCCAGAGCCTCAATATTGTGAAACATTTTCCCTAATTAAAAACATTCATAAAAATTAACTGTAAAGAGTTAGAGGCAAGGTTATTTCAGACTATATCCTACAAAAATATGAAGAGAAATGTGTGTTTCATGGTGTAATGCTCTCTGCTGAGCAAGAGGCTGGAGTGTCTTTGCTCAAGGCTTGAGTTATGTACTTAATTTTACACATTAAAATTTAACGACCTTTTAAGTGTAATGTGCCTTTATCAGAGAGCATTTATTTTTTCTTTTCCAATAGCATAATTTCATAGTATTGTAGAAGTAATAGTTGAGAGCATAGTTGGTAAGGTTTGCTTTTTTCTCCTGTACTGTCTATACGCAATTACTTTTCACTGATTTGAAGAGCATTTTCTTTAATAGCACTGCCATTTATTTTTACAAAATTTTAAAATAAAATGGTTTAAAAGGTATTATTATGCTCCTTTAGCTTAGGGAAAATGTAAAATTGTGCAAGTATGATACTTTTCATATGTTCATTAAAGCTATCATCTCATGTGCACAAAAAGCTGTCTTTCACTCTTCAAGACTAATGGATTTTGTAAATTAAGATGATCTTGGATTGGAGAAAGTGTAGTTTGAAATATACTTCAGATATTTTCAAGGAGAAGTAACATAAGGAAAATATTTCTATATGTGGCAGAAATGCTTGCTTCAGTACACTTATGTTCGAGTTTCCTGAAAAGATTTCACAGGATCTTAATTTTACCTTCCTTCCTTCTGTTCACTTTTTATTTCACTCTCAACAAATATGGTAATGAAAAGGAGTTATAGATTAACAGAGAGACTTTTGTCACACCAGGTAGCTAGGCAACCAGCACCTATCTTAGCATTTCACATAAGATGCTACCATTCTCCCACTGATGAAGAATGTTCTACCCCTTACTTGTACTCCATTTATGGAATCACCTGTACATAGTTCTACTTAATCTCTTCATTGTTACACATGCAAAGAAATCATCCTTTCTGTTTGGAAGTAATAATGCCAGAGATTGAATAGATTGAACCTATCTTGCTATTAAAATAAATGGTGAAAATAAAATTTAACTCAGGGATTGTTATTTAATATTCTATTGTTCTTCCTCTGCTCTTTGCTGCACAGGGAACATTCAAATAATTGTTAACTGACTGAATAAAATAATATTTTTCCACAACTCAAAAGCATCTATATATAATTTAAGAAAATATTAGTGGCCTGAAAAAGGCAAGACTTTGGAGACATCTGCATTTCCAATAAACTTGTTATTTGCTCCAGTTATAAAGAGAATATTTTAACAAGTGAGAAAAAATTCACAAAATGGAAGAACTTGGAACTGGAAAGTATTAGGTTGCAATGTTTCTTAGCTAACAGTTGTATTAAGTAGATTAATAGCTATTTTAAACAAGTATACATTCCAGGTTTAAGAATTATACATTCCTGGGTACCATGCATATTCCTGTCTCCTGCAGTTAAATCTTTGGGACTGGTTTGGCCAGTGTCTGAAGGGAGAATACTTATCTGGCTGATGTTAGACAACAAAGTCAGGGATTAAATGAACACAAAGATAGCAGAGTGATAGATATGCAGTCTCAGCTACATAAGATACTTGTGCTGTAAAGGTCGGGTGTATGGCCTTGTTCCCAGAGTTAATGCTGCATTCTACACTTACAACTTTTTAAGGGAATAGATCTGATGTGTTCTTCTCATAATAAATTAATATTCAAAAGGAGAGGAGCAGGATCATTGAGATTAAAAAATAGTCTGGAAAATTAACAGAGACCAGAGGTGAGAATCAAAATTATCCGGATAAAATCTGAATTTAATTTTAAAAGAAAAGAATTGGTGAATATGAGTAAGAAAAAGATGATTAAAAGAAACAAGAGTTCTTATTTGATTAGATAGCAGCACTCTTGGTACCCATAGAGGGACATGTACCTGAGAGAATAAAAACTAGCTAAATGGCTCAGGGCAGAACTGCCAACACCTTGTATACCATTCCCCCATTACCTCACCTGTCATCCTTCTCCCCTGGTGGAGGATGTCATGAGTGCTCTTGCGTACAGATCTTAAGTACTGCTTCAATCATTT